CCAGGGACGCTAAATCAACTAGGTAAAATTAGAGGCTTTAAAATCTGTCATTTAAATATGAGAAGTCTTGTACCTAAACTTGCGTTGAGATTTTTGGAGGCGCACAACGAGTTTGGTGTAAATGTAGCATGAGACAGCTCCAGCAAAAGAAGCTGTCCATTGCTCAGATCTTGCTTACTGGTTTAAAAAGCGTTTTGAACATTGTAGAATTTTGTTCCAAAAGCTGTTTTTGTTAATAAGTTGAAGTTGGTGCGACACCTGCCGAGGTGCGCAGCTCAAATGCTGTGATCTTCAGCTCTCACTGAAGCAGTTCAAATCTGGGATGAGGATCAGCACYTCCAAATCTGAGTCCACGGTCCTCCGTCGGAAAAGTGACGATTGCTCTCTAAAAGTTGGGGGTGAAGTTCTGCCTCAAGTTGAGGAGCYCGAGTTTCTTTGGGTTTTGTTTACGAGTGAGGGAAGAATGAAGCATGAGACTGACAGACGGACTGGTTCTGGTTCTGAAGTACTGTGGACTCTGTTGTAGTGAAGAGGGAGCTGAGCTGTTTACTGGTTGATCTACGGTCCTACCCTCACCGATGGTCACAAACTTTGGGTAGCGACCRAAAGAACAATATCGTGGGTCGAAATGGTCGAAATGTGTTTTCTCTGCAGGGAGATCTGGGTCTCCGTCCTCAAGCCACTGCCCCCGAGACCCGACTTCTGATAAAGCTGAAGATAATGGATGGATGGATTTTATTCATCCCTCATGTCTTCCTCTTTCATTTTCTTAACTAGKTTCTAATGAAACCATTTTATTACAGATCACCAAAGCTGCTTAAAAAAATTCAAACTTCAGCCACTACAAAYGTTTCACCTTAAAGCAAAGCAGCAGGCTGAGTGGGCCGAGTCAAAGAAAATTTCTACGGGCCTATTTGAGGACAAACTGGTTTTTCATTAATCCGAGGAACATTTCCATTTAAAACTATACTCTTGTCTGAATGAAAGAATGCTGCTGATTTAACAAGTTTATGAAGCCATTATTTCACATATCTCAGGTTTGTTTAACAAGCAGGATATMCAAACTAAAAGTACATGCTGTGTGTTTACACAGGTTCCAGTTGACCTGCGACATGCTGAGCCCTGATAACAAACAGTGAAACAGATGAACACATGATGAGAAACACCACCATACCTGGTGAAACACTGGCTCCTTCCACTGTAAATACACCTGTGTGAAAGACATACAGAAACTATTCAAAAAGGTATGCTTGACTGGAATACATTCTGTGTCAAATAATATAAAGATATATATACTTTTTAAAGTAACTGTGTGTACTCACCAAAGTGACTAAGACACTGAAGACTAATAATAATGCAATGAGGAAGAAATTGATACTGTTTTCTTGCTTGAAGCATTCATATCTAACAAAAGAAAAACGGTTTTATTTTTTATTCAGCTAAAAAACAGCAAGATACTGTAAGCTTCTATGAAAGTTATACACATAAGCAGTTATAAAATCTATGTTCAGGGACTATGCCTAATTTATTTCACACAGACCAATGATTTGATGTGTTGTAGCAGAAAAAACCAATACATAAACCTGAATAACTTACAGACAGTAGACAAAGACACACGTGCTGTAAATCATYGGCAGTTCATCCAGTAACTGCAAAAAACAGAACAGAGAATGACTGAATGAATGATACTGAACTGTTTCAGAATGATTCAGTACTTTAATAAGTAGGAAAGTCTTGGGATAGCTCAACAATGCATTAGTGCTGGGCTGTATTCCGGTTTGTACTGAATACTGTTTTTTATTTTTGCTATGATATGAATTTTCTGAATACCGACATACCGGTTTAAATAGCCTTAACATGTTCGGAACGTTTCGTCGCAGCCGCCAGTGAACGGTTTCCYGAGGGACCCTTTTCTTCGCAGCACCGCTATGTGCGTTAGCATGCTAATGTTATTGTTGRAGCAGCTCGTTGCAGCGGCGGTTAGCGATTCTGCTGCTTATATCGGCTGACATTAAAAAAAAATCCTGTTTTCGCCATCGCTTAMTGTAGTAAACACATCTTCAGTGACGTGCACAGTTAGATATAACACGCTAAGTTAATATGGAGACATGGAGACGCATGGAGACTTTAACGTGCTTCTATTACGAAAAACCTGGGGGAAGAAGTTTTGTAGTGGAATTGAGTTGACTGGTGTGCAAGGTGAGTCATCCTGATAAGTTTTATTAAATAACATAAAACAATAGACCCGACAATAATCTTTTCTCAACCCTCCTCCTTCACGACCGGACCAAAATGCATGACTACTGTTTCCAACCACCAGTCAGAGAAAAGATACATAGAGAAGGGAAACAGTGACACAGACAGAGGTACAGTAAAAGAAAAACATTAATAAGCAGTTTTTGTACATTTTATTATCAGCTGACCTGTGATGAAAAGAAAAAATACTGAGATATACCGTGAAACC